ATGCATGTACCAAGACGTTTTCAATGTGTGAATGAATGATAACTTTTCAATGAAAAGAGTTAAAAGTCCTTGATTCATTTTTATCAAAGATTAATAATAAGTGTTGTTAAACAATTTCTGGACTATATTAAGGTCATGGTCTGAAACAAAAGTCAACTTTTAAAATATCATTTAGAGAATTAATTTAGAAAGAATTTTAGTGGCCCTCTATCTGACTCCAGTTAAATCGTATTATGATTGTTATTGAAACATACATATAGTCAATCCTCGTATATAATTATCGACTTAAATCGCGTTAGTGAATAACGGAATTAAATAAGTCAAATATGAGATTAAAGTTTTAAATATGTATATTTTGTACAATCGTTGATCAGAACAGACAATCAAAGAGACGGGGTTAAACAAGCGAAGAAGAGAGAGTGAAGTGAAGCGGATTAGAGAGGGCATGTTAGTCAACTTGATTTAACCAAGCGTGAATCAATATTTATAGTCTAATCGAATGAAGCCGGAGAGAGGCAAGATAAAGGCTAAACGAGGTGAATAATTAACAAGGTCAAAAGTGACTCAAAAGGAATGAATAAATTGGTCTGTCCGAAAGCTAGAATAGTCTATGTGGGCTGGACATAGGGCTAGCCACTACAAAATCACGAAATAAATATTGTGTTATTGTATGAAATTAGTTTTCTTACAATACTTACAATAAAATTCTTTTTTTTTCAAATTATTGTTTTTAATTTAGTTAATTTGACTATGAAGAAATCAATTTTTTATTATCTGCTGTTATATCTTCTATTCAATAGATAGACAAAATAATGTTTAACAAACCAAGACATCCACATAGAACTTGGGTCATTTGATAAATTAGTTTTTTTTCTCTCAAATTGTCATGCTTATTACATAACAGCAATGGATTTTACTAGAATTTAATAACGCAAACATGATATGATTGATTCTTAAAAGATTATTGTTAATCAGTTGAAAAATAAGAACTCAAAATAAACCATTGGTCACAACTACTCATTGAAACAGTGACCTATGACGTATAGATAATGTCTTTAAGTTTAGGTTAGAGTTATTTAGATTTCTCAAGTCCCTGTAAAATCTTATGACAATACACTATTCATTATGAATTTTTTATTAACAGATGATGTCATTAATATCATCCATCTAGGCCATAAAGTTCAAGATATTAAGTAGAGTTTAGAAAAGAAACTATTCTAATGATTATCATTGTTACTCAAAGGTTTATGAATTAGTTAACTCTAATGAAATCGTTAAGTTTGATCACTTTGATAAAGTGAGATAATACGTTTAAAAGTTTATCAGAACCATGGGATGGATATTGGAGCAATGCACTTCAAACGATCTGATCATAGTTGTAAACATAAGGTTGTGGAGATTGTTGAGTTTTAGTGAAATCATGAGCCGATCCATATTAGAACATCGCTGAAAACCCGGAAGTAATGAACGGTCATTCCGTTTGAGTAAGGGACTTCTCAGCAATGTCCATCCACGAATCTCATGCGGAATAAAACCGAGAGCATTCGGTCTCGCGCGCAAAAATTAATCCATTAAGATATTTATATGAAAACAGAAAGATTCAAAATGGATAAATGAAGACATCAGAGCAATATAGATTACATAGTTCTAATAAAATTTGTATTCTAATTACATTACCATTCTTATATTATTCTTAGTTGGTTAATTTGGGTTATGAAAGTATAAATAAATTCGAGAATAGTTTACATTATCTTTAACTTCAGAACTACTGAAAACTGAATCTCTGTTTTGTATTCATTTGCACAAATTCTTAGTACTAGGTAACGATAAACCTTCCAGAGATCAAAAGTAGGGTCTTTAAATTTCTCCTCATGATAACTGTGAATACTTACTTACTTATACCTGCTACCCCTCGTGGAGGAGCATAGGCCGCCTACCAGGATTCTTCAACAAACCCTGTTCTGAGCTCTACTTTCCACTTTCTACCAAATGCTATTCATTCTTTTGATGTCTGTTTTTAATCCCCGGCGCAATATATTCTTTGGTCTACCCCTTTTCAATTTATATATATATATATATATATATATATATATATATATATATATATATATATATATATATATATATATATATATATATATATATATATATATATATATATATGGTTTTCTGAAAGTATATGTATACCATAAAAGGGAATTCTTTCTCCACCCAAGAAAATTATATACTTATTTAAGAATTATCAGCTCCAAAGCTTCATTGATAAGATAATAAACGAATAAGCGATTAACTGATGATACCAAAAACTCATCGAATAATTCTCTACAAGCCATGAAATGACGAAACTACTTTTTACAAGTTTTCGGGAACTATTCATTATTTCTATCCTCATTTACTCATCTTTCCTAGAAACTTTAAGGAGTTCAAGGTTATCAGTAAATCCATATATCCCATTTGTTTTCTAAATGTTAGCGGGACATAGACTAGATTAAAGCATGCTCAATGCATGATTGCTTTGGTGCACGCTGATTGGCTAATTCTTATCCAATCAGCACTGGTCGATAGTTGGAGAAGACTCTAGAATCTTCTCATGTAGAAAACTATAAATATACTGACGTTTTCCCTATTGTGCTTCCTACTGGCTTCTGACTTGCTATTTGGAATATAATCTCTTTCTTGTTCAACCGTGTTCTGATTTGGGGACTTGTCGAGTGAATCGGTGTACGAGAATATTAAGCAATAGGAATAGCTGGATCTAACCGCGTAAAAAACAGAGCTATAACAGTGGCGACGGGGAAAAACTAAAGAAAAATGCCAATTTCTTTAGAACAGTTGCGGTTAATATTACAGCACCAGCAGAAGTTGTTAGCCTTGCAACAACAACTATTGAACACACTTTTCACTCGACCAGAAAATAAGAAATCTGTTTATGATGCAGTAACAGACATTTCAGAAGCATATCTAGTGGAGGGTTCAAATCCCTTTATACCTGAATCAGAACGTAATATTTGTAACGTTTCCGGCTCACAGCAAGAAAATTCTGTGCTGAATGCTCATAAAGTTGTGGCAATACGAGATTATCAAGAGCCAGACCCTGTAGATGAAGCCCGGAGTCCAGAATTGAATGAAACACTACTGGTCCTGTCTAGCTCTGAAAATAAACTTCAGCTAGAACAAAATTATGGTCCACGTGATTTTAGCCGGAAAAGCTATGGGGACTCGTATTCAGAAAATAACTGCAGTGACACAACGAACCCAATTATACCGAATGTTACTCAAAATCATTGTGAGACAGAAACTTATATTGAATCAGCTTATCCGATTTCTAATGACAATGTATCAGACATGGGTTCTCAGAACAATGCATGTTATTTTGATGAAATTTCTCATAAAAATCAGGAAAATATATCAGCTGAGTCAAATTATGGTCAAAAGTCTCATTTAATTTTGTTAGATGATGATTTCCGTAATGATCCATTATCCACTGATGAAATTCCTAATGGATTTGAAAGTAATGCTTCAGAAGAATTAAACTTTGACCTCAAATCAAAGGTCGTTCATTATCATCTAGTCGTTTCTAGTGGATCCGACATTCAATGCGAGAAACGTCGTTTAAATAAAGTCCTATTATTTGTAACTTCGAGATATAAGGATCCGACATTGTTTCGCGGAGGAGGAGAATGTTGGAGAATTAAAAGTTATGCATACATTTTTTTAAGAAAAATCAAAACGCCGGGAACAGACATGTCAGTCTCTGTGCAAGGAAAAAGTGATAATTCTTCATTGCCTAGACGATGGACTAATCGAAAGCACAAGCCAGTCACTCAGTCGCAGTTGGACCCTAGCACCAGATCCTACGAATCTGCTCAGAGGGGAGGTGTTAGCGGGACATAGACTAGATTAAAGCATGCTCAATGCATGATTGCTTTGGTGCACGCTGATTGGCTAATTCTTATCCAATCAGCACTGGTCGATAGTTGGAGAAGACTCTAGAATCTTCTCATGTAGAAAACTATAAATATACTGACGTTTTCCCTATTGTGCTTCCTACTGGCTTCTGACTTGCTATTTGGAATATAATCTCTTTCTTGTTCAACCGTGTTCTGATTTGGGGACTTGTCGAGTGAATCGGTGTACGAGAATATTAAGCAATAGGAATAGCTGGGTCATTAACCGTAAGAAACAGGATTATAACACTAAACATGAGCCAAATCTAAAAATAAAGTTTCATTTATTTAACCACTTGCTATTTTCATTGAGGGCTGGAGAATTAAGAGATTTCATAGGTCGAGGAATCGGGATAGGATTCAGTAACTCAAGTACACCAGTTGATTTAATATTTGAGTAATTAGTATATTCCGAAATCCTAATGATAAATATAACTATTAGTTAATGAAATCATTAATTGGAAGCTAAATAATTTTGAAACAGAAACACACTTTATCCCTTCACCAAAAAAACTTTTTAATTGTTAATCTCCAAGCAATCTAACGGATTAATTTTTGGACATTTGATAATGAGAACTATTTGTCGAAAAAAGATAACTACTTGACTTTTGTGTCTAGAGTTACACGGAAACATTAGCTTTTCATGGTATTCATTTAAGCTCTTCACCTACCTATCAAATATATTCGGATTTAAAAGTAAACTTTCTACAATATCAGTATCATTCAAATCTCTCTCTCTGTGTGTGTGCCTATTCCCTCCCTTAGACCATTTGTTTATTTTCTGGCCTAGAAAAATAATTGTTAGCAAATTCGAAATATTTGTTAACTAAATACCATCATATGTACAAAATACCTCAGTTTAATGTTGGAGTTTAAAAGTTGTTTTATTTTTGTATTGCTTTAGTTCAAAAATCAATGTTAGATTTAAATAGATTTTGTAAAACGAACAAAAAGTAATCAGCATGAACTCTATAGCTTTTCTTCATTTACTTAAGTGTAGACAGTTTTAACAAAAAATAATACCGTTTTATACATATTTGGAATGACCTCTTTTTAATTGTTATTCACTTGTAAACTAGTCTGAAACAGATTTAAACATCGAAAATAAATAAATGAATAAAAATTACAATAGTTGAAATCATGAGTCAATTGAAGCTAGACCACCATGGAAAACCTGGAAGCACTGGACGGCCGTTTCGTCCTAGTATTGTACTTCTCAGCAGTGCACATCCACGATCCCGCCCCTTGCGGACGTCCTAGACATTGGCTTCAATAAAAAATCAACTGGATGTGTCGCTCGACTTCGTGGATTGGTTGTAGTTAGACATTAACACCGTTGGATGCCGGCTCAGTGGTGTAGAGGCTAAGCGTTGGAGCGCGAGACTGATGGGTTCTGGGTTCGAATCTTGCAAGGCGGAGTCGTGGATGTCCACTATTGGGGAGCCACATCCTGGGACAAAACGGCCGTCCAGTGCTTCCAGGTTTTCAATGGTGGCCTAGCTTCAATTGACTCATGATTTCAACTATTGAAATGACTAAAATCTCTACAAAACCGCTTCTGAGAATAAAAATTAATCATTATTTTCAAGGTTAATCTTTGAATTTAAGTGACCTTGCGCGTTTTTGTATTGTGAATAGTTCACATTTTATTTTAGTGAATTTTTATGTAATTTGGATAGATTTACTGGGGAATAATTTATCTTACCGTTATTCATACACAGTAGTAAAAGAATTTCACATAAATAATTCATTTACATGAAAATGAATTTAGTCATCAATGTCATTATTTTTCGAAGATTGTAGTGTTAGTTAAGGATTTCTTCTAGTGAATGTAAGTATTCACTACCGATATAAGAAAAAGACTTACGATACTAAACTGATGATAAAAATTGTTCATCCAAGCATATAAGTGATTCATGTTATATTCACATTCAAAATATCCAAATTTCTAGGTTAAGTAAAATATCCTCTAAACTATAAAACTTATATTGTATCATTTACTTTTGCACATGCTACTGACGTAAGAGTAGAAAGCATTTTAGTCCTTTCAAATATTCTCGCATCAGATTTGTCAGTAGCAAATACCTATAACCCTACTAGGAATCGAATCCTACATATTGAAACAAAATTCAACATCTTAAATGTTTGTATACTTTGTATTATACCAGAAGTTTGTGAATCTAAATCTCAGGATAGCTTGTTTGTTGAACTCAGAATATTCCTTTTAAAAAAAGCCCAAAGCGGCTTTGAAAATGCTGGGAAACATATCCGATCAGCGTTGAATAGAGGTATCTCAGAAACACCTAAAAAGTCAAGAGCCACGTGTCATATATCTGATTGGATGATTACCTATCCTGTTACTTTGTTTAGTAGGATTTCAGAATCTTCCAGAAACTCAAGGCCATCTGAAATGCTTTAAATACCTCATATTTTCTGTACATAAAATGTTTTGAAGTAAAGCGTTCTTTGCATATTTCGCGCCTTACCTCTCGTGTTTAATTTGTCGTGTAGAGTTAGCCTGGGGTTATTAGAAGAGCTTAAGAAACTGATTTGAGCATTCAGTCAGAAGATTTAACAAGCTAAACTTTGAAAGGAATGTAATAAATCAAAACACTCCCCCTTCGGTTATATCTCATGTCAATTTGTTGTAACAAAAGTTGTATTTGGAAAACAATGCTACTTTTTTTTCCCATTTTGTTAACAAGTCTCAAATCAACTTATAATTTGACATCAAAAATAATTTAATAAAACATCAAACGAGTATGTGTAGTTGTATGCGTGTATGCAAAAAAGTGGAATTTTGATTCGAAATATTAAATCCAATTAATAATTCATAAAATATACATAGAGAAAAAAAAACACGATGACGACTGATAACGAATAAACGAGTAAACTTTTTTTGGTGAAGATAACACGTGCTTCAAAAAAAAGAGAAAGAATTAGATTGTTTTTCATATTTTACTTCCCTACTAAGGTGAATAGAAAAAAAATTCAGTCAGACAACATATTTTTACATTATCAATATTATTTTGTGCTAAAAAAACATTTTACTTGTGCATCGAAAAATTTTAAAATATTCATCATATTGTTGAACAATATAACGAGAAATTTGTTTTAATTAATGTTTCAATATTTTAATTCACGTATGTAGAAGAAATGCAAATAGTTTTATCCTTATTATTATTATTACTATTAATAATAATAATAATAATCACTCATAAGAGTTTGTGTACTATCGTTGTTAATATTCATGGCTGAAATTGATCAGGTTATATTGGAATATTTAGTCTGCTTAAGCGGATACCTTGATACTGTCTATAGTCACAAATCTATCAAATGTTTGAATTTTGAATGTACTTGTATCTCAGTATCGATGGTGACACTGAGATTCGAACCTGGCACTTATCACTGTATGTGTTGCTGTGTCATACATCAAGCTACTGAATCTTACATACTTACTTAATTACACCTGTTACCCATTATGGAAAAGTACAGACCTCCTACTAGGATTCTCCATCCAACTCTGTTACGGCCAATCCATTCCAGTTGTTTCCAGTTGTTATCCATTATTTATTGTCTGTCTTCAATTCCCGGCGCAGTTTGTTCTTTGGTCTACCTTGTTTCCTCTTGCCTTCAGGATTCAAAGTGAGGAATTGCCCTGAGATGCAGTTTCATGATTTCGACAATGTATTTCATATCCACCTCATACAACTTTCCTAATTTCCTTTTTACCTGAAAGCTGGTTTGTTCTCTCTCAAAATAGGCTGTTGCTGGTGGTATCCAACCAACGCACATTGAGCACCTTGCGCAACACTTGTTTATAAGTACTCGCATCTTCTTGATGATGGTTGTGGTATTTTTCCAAGTTTCACCTCCGTACCATAGAACTGTCTTGACGTTCGTACTGCAGATTCTGAAGTTGACATCGGTTGAAAGTTGTTTTGAGTTCTATATTTTCTTCGACTGTAGGAATGATGCCCTTGCTTTGCCAATGATTGCATTGACATCTGCATCAAATCTTCCTTGTTCGTCAATGATGCTATCTAAGTGCGTAAAATATTCTTCCTCTTCCAGAGCTTCTCCAGAAAGTGTGATTGGGTTAGTGTTCTCTGTTCTGTGTTTCAGGATTTCATTTTTTACCTTGTGTATGTTTAGGCTTACAGCTGCTGGTAAAAGCCGAGAGTCTTCCGAATCTAAGTAATGTATAATAACAATAAAGATTATCTAAACTTAATTGCCATGTGAACGAATGGGTTAGGACTTGAAGTGGTAAGTATAGGGTTTGAAATCCAGTGAGAAAATCATCATTATAATGCAAGTACATTTATCCATTAAGTAACAAATATTAAGCATTTCGTTGAAATCATGAACTGATCGATGTTAGATCACTATTGAGAACTAGAAAGCACTGGACGGCCACCTTTTCTTAGAATGGGACTACTCACCAGTGCTTATCCATGATTCCTCACAGAGGAATCAAAATCAGGACTTTTGGTTTCACAAGCGAACCCTTAACCTCTAGGCTACTGTGCCGGCATCCAATGGTGTTAATGTCTAACTTTAATGATGGACTAGCTGAAATCAGTTAGTTATTTCAGTGCAGTTAAACAATCTCCACAACCCCGTAGCGAATATTGAGCACTCATTTGCCATCCATTAATCATACTAAATACATTTATATTTACTGTTTAACTTATTAGAGTGAGATGAAATAATGACTTCATTTATAACTAGGTGATTTTTCAAACGTGAAAGATGTAACACGTACCGTAAATTGCAACTATGTATTTGTATATATATATTACTTTAAGAGTGTTTGGTCATACGCTGTGGTTACCAAACGCTGATTAGATCTAATTAAGCATTAAATATGTAGATAGTGATGGGCACATTAATATTACTTGAGAAGGGGTTTAGTGGAGATTTTAGAAATTTCACTAGATGGAATCATGAGTCATTACTAGGACGAAACGGCCGTCCAGTGCTTCCAGGTTTTCCATTGTGGTCTAGCTTCAATTGACACATGGTTTCAACTAGTAATATTACTTGGTTTGACCTCTAACTGAATGTAGTTTCAATATAGAACATTGTGGATATTGTTTAATTTCGTAGCATTACACCATAAACTGTCTCCAGTTAAACAACCTTTGAGAAGTAGAAAGAATTGTACAGGGATTTCGATTTGTAAGGAAGCTTCTCAGCAGTGTACACATAAGATCCCACCAAAACCTTGAGGTTTCAAGGTAACCGCTTGACTTTCAGACAATTAAATTGATGCCTGATTCACGACTATGGTAAAACATCATTAATTTCTATTGATTATACTTAGCTCACGCCGGAAATGGTTGAATTCGACTAGTCACAGCTTCTCCATGAACTACCTCTTAAATTTATTCATTGATCCTTACACGATAATGTTTTTAGTGTTGACACAATTCATTTTTTTAATGGAGCGTAAATTAGTCTAATGTTATACAGTTTACTGTCTATATGGAATTGGTCACAAATTTTGAATTAGTTCTTCGAATAACATAATAAATTGACTTGGGATTTCTTCATTGAATTGTACTTCTCAGTAGTGAAATTTGTTTACGGTATCAGCATTTCAACTTACTATTTTGATATTTGTTTTGCTTTCTACCAATATTATGACAAAATGAATTAACAGTAACACTCAATGACCAATCAATCAATATAACTGGTTTGAATGTTTCGCATGATTTGATCCATTTCTTAAAAAAGAAAAAAAACAAACTTGGCTACTCACTTAAAGTAAACACAGATTTATTGAAAAATCATTCCATGTTAATATGATTGAGTACAGCTAACAGATTTCAAGTATGGCTCAAGTAGATGTTCATTGAAATTTGATTCTTATTAGGTTACAACAATGATGTTGGTGTCAACTTTTATGAAGCTAATGTACTTATAATTCAAACCTTCACTTCTTCGTTACAGGCTCGTACTTCAAGCCTTATAGAAAATCATGTTGTTGATTACAGACCAAATTATTTCATATAACCTCTTATAATAGAGATGTCATTGGTTTTTTAGGGTACATCCGACGATTGCTAATGAATGCTGAATTCTATCTAGGCTATTCTGGAGAATCATATAACACCAAATACGATATTCTTGTTTGCATTCACTATATAACATAGATTTAAGTAATTTATGGCATCCATCTATCAATATTTAGCTGTCTACTTCCTGTTAATATGTTTTTCGATTATTATAATAATCAAACACTAGAGTACATTGGGTCAGCATCATTCATTTGTAGTGTAATACACCCTAATAGTTAGTGGTATACTATATGTTTCCTTTAACAACTATATACAAAATCATCCTTGAAATATACACGGCCAAAGTTACTTCAGTTTTTCAGGAAAAAACTAATACTAAATAATGTGATCGATCGAGTCCTAGTTTGCAATATGGCCACCAGTCTTAATAACTTGTTATTTTAGTATAATCTATTTTTCAATGCCAAATGATGATATAGAATTGATTGGGAGCCTTGTGAATCTAGGCTCTGTGTCGGTTGTCAGAAGTTCATACTCCATTATAAGTTGCTCATCAGGAAATAAAAATTTATTTAGTTCACAACCAATGTATATTTTATCAGGAAATTTTAAGATAGGTATCTAACGATCAAATCATGTTCATATTATGAAATAATGAGTTTTTCTTGATAATCGTAACAAATTCCTCTTTAACATTTCTAACAATTACTACAATAATTAATATTATATTTCGTAATAATAATTATTATTTATTTGAACACATAAATATTTCTACAAAAGGGGAACAGAATACATATGCTCCACACAAGTCACTTGATTTGTGTGTGGGCTGTGATACTGCCCAGACCGAAGCAGGTGATTTTCCTAGGCGGCCACACCTGGAGTCTTCGACCTGAAGGTCTAATCCATAAGGCAGTGGATAAACGTCAGGTGATGCACTCCCATGGTAGCCGGTGACCAACGATTGGTTCATACGCCATATGTTCCTTCAGGATACTGGAGCCCATATACACCATTGATTTGGAATCCGGGTTTTCCAACTCCCCTAGGTGAACTCTCCGTTTCCACCAACCCAGTTCGTCCTCTCAATTTCATAAGTAACACCCCACCACGAGAAGGCAGTGAGTAGGACTTCCCTGGCAGTGGCTGTATATGCATGGCCATGTGAGAGCATTTCGAAAGGGAAGACGGATTCTCTCCACCCTCGACCATACCACGGCATTTGGGGGCAATAATAATAATAAGTACATCAAAAACTTCTAGAGGATACTAAACCAATTACTTACAATTTATTCACAAAATCAATGAGTGGGAGGGAGACTATTTTTCAGTATATCCTTTCTCATCTTACTATTCATTTGAATTTCTTATGTTGTATGAATAAACTTTTAATATCAAAATAATCATATCAATCATGATATTGATATTGAAAAATCTTTTCCTTTTTTTCTTCTATAGACTAAACAATAAATATTTCTAATAATTAAAACATACACTCAAGTTTGAATTAGATAAATATTGAAAGAAACAAAAATGAAATCAGTAAATTATTATTGACATGCAATTCAATGTCGAATTTCATTGTTGATTCAATTTTTTTTTTCGGTTATTACGTCTAGTAAATTATTTATTATCAGATAAATTGTCATTTTTATTTATGATTTAATGTTTTTTTTTCTTCTAAAAGACATAATGGAACTACTTAGTACTTGGTTATCATTCTAACTCTTTGGATTGGAATAGAATTGTAAATTTCTCTAGTAATGATACATTCCGTGTCAACATTGATTGATTTGATTGATTCAGTTAAATATTTAATATTCTCATTGCTTTAGTAAATTAATACGTAAGGTGTGGTAACAAACGTAATAAGTAAACCATTTGCGTATGTGAGAAAATATTATACAGATTCGTCTATTATAGATCTGTTTGAAAAGATTTACCCTGAAACAAACAGTCCTATTGTGTGATTATGAGGTCTAGTCTCATGAAGGTGTGTTGTTATTCAATATCAGTACTATGCATATAAGTGAGAGGTCCGTTGTCATTTGTTTAAACACACTCTAGATTATTATTCATTTAGTGAGGTCATTTTAAAATTTACGCTTTAATGGTTTTGACATATCTTAAATGTACATAGCTAGTCTTTTAAGGTGCCGAGGAATAAGAAAAATGTTTTTGTGAAGCAAATATAAATCTATCCACCACAGCTATTTAAGTATTAGAAAACACAGCCTCCAAGATATAGCACACTTCTCCATGCCCCGAAGATTTTCACTATCAATGGTAAACTTATCTAATAAATACATCACAAAGTACCAATTGAAAGTTTACATTTGACCGGACTCGATCCCTAATCATTTAATACCTGAGATCATGTCTCTGAGTAGGCGAAATCTTCAACACGAACTCCGTTATTGTTTTAGTTCCTTCAATAAGAAATACTACTTCATAGTATAATATATTTACTTATAAACTTAACATGTTAAACTGATCATTATTGTTTATGAATACTCCAACCATAATATGACACTAATGACTAATTATAACGAGTGGAAATATACTCAACGTTGTCATGTCAGTTTAATGTATCGCAGACCGGAATAATGGTCATATTTAAGTTCATATAGTCAATGAATTTGTCATATTATGATGTAATTTTTATTAAAACACTAGATTAGACTGCGCATTTTGCTGTGGCTGTAATGTTTACTCAACACTTCATAGTGAGTTACGCCGGACATTCGTTGCATGCTAGAATGATATCACAAGTCATATAAAGCTTAATAAAAGTCTTTTTTTAATTAAACCATCAATGAATAATGTTACTGGAGAAAAGTTTTTTGTTCTGTAAACTATGTTTTTATGCGTAAATGACTGTTGTCTTCAGTCTGGAAACAATATCGTTTGTCCTCTATTGGGTAAGCCTTCCTGGCGTATAGTTCGTTTTTTGGGTTTATAGACTTAATAATCTATAGCTAACTGCCTTAAGTAACACGTCTGTGCAAATAAAAAAATAATTACGATATCTGTTTTGTTTAGTATACTTGGTTATCGTATAATTCAGTTTATTCGACATAATTATAATGCTTGAAGGAAGCAATGAAGCAGATCATTTTAGTAAGTAGAGCTTCTCAATCTTTCATTTCCTATAGTGTGCTATAGCGTCAAAACTAGTAAACGATTAACGTGAGATTATGTATACATTACAGTGTAATTTGCTGTCGGAAACTGAAGTTGAGAGCTTAGAACTTGTGCAGTACAGGAGGATATGTTATCTATGTATCGTATTTATTATATTCCCACTAGTCCTTACAAAAAGTACTTTGGATGCTATTGTTGTCACGCATGATAAAATAGTGTTCATTTTTAAGAAAAGGTTATAAATATGTTTAGTGTTCACTTGGTATTGTTTGGCTTGTATCTTCCCATTGAGGTTTAAGACTGATCAATTGCAGTCTTAAACCTCAATGGGAAGATACAAGCCAAACAATACCAAGCGAATTCAAATTCACCCCATTGCACAAGCAAGTGGTTATCAGGACTCAGTAGCTGAGTGGATAACGTGATGGCGTTTGAAGCGAATGGTACTGGGTTCATGTCCTAGAGTGAACATCAACTCTGAGATGCAGGTACATCCAGCAATCCTGACGAGTCCCGAATAGGAAGAAACGCGCGTCCTGGATTCCACTGCTAGCCACTATCCATCATTGCTTACAAATATGTTTAGTGTTCTTTTGTAAACTGTACGTTTGGCTCTGATCATATTTCAAGACCACTAGTATTACACAATTTCCCCAGCATTAACATCAACAGCTGGGTAACCAAATGTCGATGTTTTTACTTTCCTGGAAAACAGCATCATACATTCCTGGAAGAGGGGTGTTGTACATCTTTATTAAATGGAGCTGGCTGTAAACAAACATTAAAAACCCTTTTAACTACTGGGAATTTTAGTTTACCAGACACACCTTGTATATCTTCCCGTAAAACAAGACGCGAATACATTAGAATACATAAATTGGAGCAAAAGATTAAAAGCTGTACAATACGGTATTAAGCACGTACTATGCACTTCACAGGTTATAAAAGCTGATCCAATCGTTAAATAATATTCATGAACATGTTAGTAAATCACAGTTATATAAATCCTTATCTGCTGAAAAGCATGTTTTTTGTTTATTGACCTATTCCAAATTTTTAACTAAAGCCAGTAACATTTGTTTATTTAGAATGGAGCAGGAGTGATCCCTCACAGATCTCCTTACACACTATTTCGTCGTCAGAATTATGATACTATGGAACAATCTACGAAGGGCAGTACTAATAACACCTTCTACAAAGTTTCTAAAAAGTAATCAGTACATTCACTTTGGTCTTGCGATCACTTCCACTATTTACGAGTTACTTCTTTTGCCTTTTAGTTTAAAACGAATAACAAGGACTACAACTTAACATTATCAATGTGAAAGTTGTAAATGAAAACCTGGCGTAAATGTTTGTTTGGTATTCCATCGTTATTTAAACCATTCCTGAATAAATTTGAAAATCCAACACTATTTTGATTTATCAGATTAACCATCATAAAAAGTCCATGAAATGCGAGCATCTTAGCATCTAGTTCACATGTAATAAGTAACACTTGGGAGTAATAAAGGGCACACTTTTATTATTTTCTTGAGGAACTTACAGACCCGGGTCCAGTATACATTATCAAAGGAAACAAATTGTTACGCCCCTAGCCTTCTTACAACCTATTCCAGCCACCATAGAGCGTCACGGTAGTCGGTGTATGGACACGCGTAATGTATATCGTAACCGTTTCTATGTCTAATCTGATAGTTACTTACTGGAATGCCCTATGATATGCGAGCAATCCCTCTAATATACTAATGGAACACTACTAGCATAACGGCACCCAATATGGTACAGTACACCGATCTATGAGCTTGCTTAGCTTCTCAGTGAACATACGACTACGGTCCTGTTAATTATGTCATGACCTCCTTCATCGCCTTCATTGTAAATAAGTATATATTTACTGGATATTATACAATACCTTTATTTTGAAAAGAATAAGACATGACAGGTAAAAGTTGGAGTAAAATGGCAATATACGGCAGATGCATATGTCGTGACTTGCTCTCATCGATTGCCTAAAATACAGAATAGGGATATTAGCTTAGCAGTAAGACTACATCACCAATTTTAAAAGAATAAGTGGACTTGCTTTGTGAGAAATAGTTATATGGCGGCAATGAGTGTTATCGAAATCGAGTTTTCGAGGATATACGAACTACTTGAACTGCAAGGTCATCCAAAAATAACTCGAATAGGAAAGTTGGGTCTCATAATCCTTTCGAAAACATCACTGGTTTCCACAACAACTAGACGCTCAGTACTAGTTCGACTTGTTGATGGGATAGGATTATTCATAATACTGAAGAAAATAACACTAGAGTACATTTCCTTTGATCGCTCTTGATAAAATCATAAATGATAGATATGAACAAACATGAGGACAGTAAAAAGCAGCTTACTCTGGTTTCTGATATCTACGAAATAATACTCAAGACAAAACGCATTAACATTTTATCATATAATGCACGTAAGCACGCCTGAAAGAGTGCACCGACCTGAGTAGCATTGGCAAAAGCCATGAAAACAAAACTGATTAAAAAAAATTGGCATCAACACTAAAAGTATCACACAAATTGAGGGATTTCAGAACACTAAAATATTAAGTTTTGTAGCAACACCAAAAACCCAAAAAAACAACGAGCTAAGCTAACTGCCATTGCTTACAAAGGTGGCGGAATTGGTAATCCCCACTTCATTCTGGTTAGTCGCTAAGTAGTCCGTAAAAATTACGAACTGGACTTGAGTTTATTTCCAGTCATTATAACTTATTTAATCTTAACTATCATCAATATAATTCAAATTTCATTATGTTACACATTTTTAATACACCATCTCACAACACAGTCCTATGAATTATTATTTTCGTTATTATGATTTTCAAGTTGGACTTTTATTGACCAGGTAGATTATCCTTAATTAATACTTTAATATTAACCAGTTACTGGATTGTTGATTATCAGAAGTGATATAAATAAACAATATAACATATTTTAAAAAGAGAATATCATGTGATTATCACTAGCTAAAATTGTTCAATGTGTTCCACTGTAAAACAAAGCTCGTATACAACCTTAATTCGTGGACTAGGTCATTGTCTGTAAAATATAATAATGAAACTTTTACGAATCAATTTCACTTAATGATACATAATATATATTTGCTAAACTGTTATCAAAACTGATCAAAATTTGTAAAACTGGTAAAAATTCATGTTCACTTTTGTTGTGTTTCGTGAATACATCGTCTTTTAAGCTAAGAAATCTGAGAGTTTGTGTATGAAATCTGATGTTAAATGAAATAGATTCCTGGTATCTCTAGAACAAATATTTTCGTTTAGTATTTTTAACCTAAGAATAACATTTACTGCTCCAAGAGTCTGAGCTCACAATATTCAGAGCATAATTCAATTAGATTAACTATGAAATAATCACTCCTCGACTGATCACTGTTGGTAAACTCAATCGATTCAGCAAACAGAAGAGAAGCAATACTTCTTTGTCTGCTAATAATTTCAAAAGCTTGAGGAATGTCAACGGTGTGCCCAGTGTCAAGTAAATGCCGAGCTATTGCACTGTTGAGAGCCCTTGGCCTTCTCAGTTTCAATTTCTTTGGAACATACTTGGAAATGCTAACATATACTTTTCTCTTGGTTCTTTCAATGTATGTGCTTTGGCACGTACATGTAAATTGGTAAATACAGTTAGAGCTACTAAAAAAAATAGGACCTGTCAATTTTAGTTTGTTTGAGCGAGCAGTTTGTTTCCCATAGCATCGTTAATTTTGCTGATGGGTAAGTTACCTTCAACGAGGAATTCATCCTGTGATTAATTATTTCAGTGATTACATCTCCTTTGAAGCGCAAGTATAAGAAGCAAATTTTCTTTTGAACTATATCATATTTAACTCAAGGGTTGGTTTTGGCATATTTCTGGATGAAAAAAAACTATTTTTTTTCACAACTAATACATGTCCCTAAAACAATATCTTAACGTCTATTTAGAGAAATGACATTATAAAAAAATCTGAATTAAGTATGATTCTTTCCTATTACAATGGTTTGTCAATATCATAATGTATTATTCTTCGAAATCATCTCCTGTGTATGAAACAACTTTCTAGAAAAAAAACAAAACAATCCTAAACATAAACTCTCAGGTCATTTGAATGACCTTGGTGCAAATTAAAACAATTCAACATGTTATCTTTAAGGTAAAATGAAAAAAAATTGAAACATGAATAAATTATTGTTCCTTTATATCTTAATATATAAAAACCGATAGAGGAAAACAAGACAACTTTCATTTTAGATTTTAGTTGATTTCATTAATTCATGTTTTTAAACTAATTAGGGAGAGAAAAAAGAAGGTTCAATAATTTAAATCTCACCTTACATCCAATGATTTGTGTACATATATCATTTCACTGAAAATAAAAGAATAATAAAAAAAATAGAGGACATAAAAATCATTTTGGTTGGTTAAATATTAGAAAAAAAAAGAAGAAGAAGACAGTATATAAAAATGTACCATTAACAACAATCATTTCCGTCATAAAACTAGGTCAACTTTGAAAATACTAAAAAAAAATTATCAAGGCTTATAGATATTACTGAAGTTAAATTTGTCCTCATTGATGTTTAAGCATAAACGTTCCTTTTTTTGGTGGTGGTGGTGACTATTTTGCATTTAAACTTTCAGAATAAAGTATAATCATTGTGGTTTATCAATTTTGTTCAGATATTGGGAGAAGGATAGTTTCATGAAATTCTCGATCAAAATAGTAGATGTTTAAATTTTTTTTATTATGACGTTGTGGTCTTCATTTATCAATTTTTTCATTTTAGGTAGTCTATATTAGTAGCATTCCTGATGAAGCCATAAATAATTAATAATCCGTTCACTTTCGGTAAGAGTTGGTGTTATTAAACTGAAGAAAAACTATATTAGTTTTCACTCTTTTTAAATTCCAGTACTTAGTTTACTACTGATAATTAGCATTAGAATGCTCGAATTAATTATAAGGAATCTCTAAAAGCTCATTGCAATATCTTAGGATGCATACCAGTTGAAAAACCTATGTATAAAAGAGTCTAACACCATGAAAAGAAGGATGGTAGTAATTGTTCATCAGCACATATGGTTGTAAAGATCAAATATATCCAATTTTTCCATCTGGACTATATTAATTAATAATTAGTTACTGACAAAAAGAGGACGACTTAATCTATTTTATTCAATTCACGTATTGAATAATGATATACCGAAAAAGTTCTTACTCAAATAGTGATTAAATGATTACCAAATAGTTATGTTAGGTGGTCGAAGGTAGTAGGCAAAAAACTTTGAACCTAGGTCGTGTGTTAGTTGGTAATCGTTAGAAAGCCATTTCTCCGATGTCGTAGGAATTGATGTACTTTGAGGGATCCAAACCTTTGTCACTCTTCTTGTCATATGAATGTATTTCGAGAGAACTCTTTCAATCTTTAGCCATACCAGGACATTTGGTTTATAGTAAACAAAAACTTACTAAGGGTCACCGCTAAAGCTTAAGGATATTCTTCTATTTTAATAGACTAAAATAACCATTCACTTATAACTTTTGGATTAGGAGGTGTTAATATTGTTCTCTCATGTATTATGTGATAAATAAAGTGACTAGATTCAAGATGAATTTACTGAAGAACTATCGAAACATGTAACCAGTGAAATCACCCTTGTTGTGAGTAATATAGTAACTTATTGATTACATTAGACGATAGCTAAGTTGTATCACAAATCTATTAAATTTAGAAGAATATCTACTATTGTTCTAAAAACAATTGCTTAAAGATACTTTACTATAAAAAAGATTTAAATTAATTGGATTTAATTCCGTATACGATTACTGGTGGTATATTTAGGTAGATAATCCTAAACAACATCAACAGTACCATCCATTACTCTAGAGTTTTCGGTTGTTTATTAGATAATGTTGCATAGAGACATATACAAACATCTTCACAAAACTTTCGAAATGTGATTGAACATTTCTAAGATTATTTTTGTGATAATGTAGGTTAGGCAATATTGATATTGTGGGTCAACTAATATCTGTTAATTAGTTTATATAAGTTTAACCTAGCAAACTTGATTTATTGATTTATTCAGCATTCAGTGGCGAAAAACATCGGTGCATTAACCTTTGCTCAATAACACCATTCGCGAGTATACTTCTTAGCAGCTTGCTTTTATGAAACAATGTTGGTAAATCTTATCAGTAATTTATTTATTATTAGCTTTATTCAATGTTATATTTTTGGTACAATATAGAATTCTCAGCACAAAGTATTTCAGCGAGTTTCCGTTTCTTATTTCTTGATCGATACTGTTGATAAGTATTGAGTGATCTCTAGTTAGATATTAGCATTTCAGAAGTCGACATCTGAATAATATTCATTCTTTTCAACGCATATTGCCAGCCACTACGTCTCTGATTGTACGTTTTTGTAACTTGTACAGCGAAAGGTCGTAAACGCACCTGAATATGTTATGTAATTAATTAACATAATCATGTGTTAAAACAAACAAGGAAACATAAATTTTTGAAATATCTTGATGACAGGAATAAGTAGCTTAGATAATCAAGCAGGCAGAATAAAAAATATAGTTTTGTTTTAACTAGTTTTGGTTAAATAACACTGATTTATTAATTTATAGTCTTAAAAGTAAACTAGATTTATTGTCTTACGTAGATTTTATGAGCAATTTATATACTTCCAAGTATAAATATATGATATCTTATTTCAAGTCACGTATAATATATAACGTTGTTAGTGATAAATTGTCTCAGAAGTCATCTGTACTTAAAATTAACTTACTGAGAAATGTTTACACCAAGTTTTTTAAAAGCATATTAGAAGAGAAGTATAATTGTCTTAGTTACACTGACTTACTGTTCTTGTAATCGACCGGAAACATACACCCTTTTTTCTAGTTAATTTCTATACAAACAACTTGATAGACAACTCCTTCCATATAGTCTTCCTCTGGATTTATATCAATTTCTATTCATTTATTTCAATGATCTATTTCATTCTGGATTTACCAATGAAGTTTTATATATCGCTAAGTGAAACACCATGCACTCAACATGTTAGCCATTAAGCTACTGCGTTTAGATAATCATTAACTTGTTCAGAAACGACAATAAAGATTGATCGATTGCAGTATTGAATATCCATAACAATGAAATTACTAACCCTTAACAAATCATGTAATGATTATTAACTCACATTATTCTATTTAGGTTTTTAAACCAAGAATGTTTCTTATATTCGTCAAGGGATTATGGGATTTCTTTAAATTTAATATTAAACGATGAAAATCACTAACTAGTTTATTTAAAAACTATAATTAATAAAAATTTCAAAGTGGAGAATTTCCCCCACAAAAGATTCTGTTTTTATAATCCTAAATACTGTAATTTATTATTATTATTATTATTATTATTATTATTATTATTATTATTATTATCCAACAGACAAACTGTAAATAACAGACGGATTTTCTATAAGTCCATTAATAAATAAATTATAGAATAAAATGGGAAAAAAAACGTTTTTATAAACAGGAAAATAAGTTGAACACTGAGTCTTTGCTAAGTTTTTAGACCAAAAGAAATAAAATATATTTGAATGGCGTCAATTAAAAAATAATTTATTTCAAAAAAAATTAGGAATCAGACTATAACCAAAGAAGGGGGTTTTGTGGAGATTTCAGTAATTTAAAAGTCGAATTCATGAGTCCTCAGCAGTGCGCATCCATCCATTCGCCTGGTGAGATTCGAATCCAGGACCTGTCGGTCTCGTGCACGGGCGCTTATATATATATAGTTCTTTACAAATAGTTTATAAATAAAGTTGTAGTAAATGCACAAAAGTAGTGGTTACATAAACTTGTATATCGTACAGTATTTGAGATTATTTTTTAAAAGTAGGTGCACTATAGTTAGGACTGGGAATCACATACGCCTCAGCTCAATGTCATGTGAATGTAACTATATTCCAGAGGTTAAAGTTCACGTTACGACTTGAATCGAGTAACTTTTACAGTTAGTCACAATCCACTTATTCCATAAAATTCCTGACAAGATGGCCATATCGTGATAATTTATACAGAATACGCATTTTCCATAAGAAACTGATTAAACGTCACTCCTTACTGTTAACAAGAGGATAATTTATTTCCCTAGTAGTAATGGTATATATAAATATTGATTCATAAAAATAAGACTGACAGTGCGGATGCTACGAAGAATTTCATATAATTAATTGATATAGAGGGTTTTGTGGATGTCGTAGAATTTTCATAGTTTAAATCACGAACTGATCTTAGCCAGACCACTACTGGAAACCAGGAAGCAGTGTATGACCATTTCTTCTTAGCATGAAACTATTTAACAGTGAGCATTCATGATCCCTCCACAGGCGATCTAACTCAAAACCTATCTCGTCGCTGCAAGCACTTAGCCTCTAGATCACGCAACCGAAGTCCAGTGGTGTACATTGTCTAGCTTCGATCTATTCCTGATGATGCTCGATCATCTTCTGTTACACGCTGTGAGTAACTCTCTCACATCTAACATAGTTGAACTCCACAGGCAAGAAGTCCTATAAGAGGGCTTAAAACTGAAGTCCAGTCCTTCCTGGTTTTTAAAGATGGTCTCGTTAAGATGAGTTGATGATTTAACCCATATAAATAATAACTAGGAGAACAGCTTATCACTTGAAATTCAAGTTCCTCTATTTAAACCAATCGTTCCACCTGAAATTTTTAGATAATAACTTAAATGTAAACTCACTGTTGTATTCAAGTTATGATTTATAATGACACAAAAACTTATCTTTTCCAAAACGTAAAATACTGGCAATATTCATTGCGAATAATGCATACGACTACCATTTTACCTAGAATGAATTCATGAATATTAAGTTTTAGATTATATGAATTGTAGATCACCAACGTAGATGATCTATGTCGTATGATCGAAGGCCTACTCGAGTTAGACAGGAATGGTGTGACGAACCAGCTAACGTCAAAGTCATACCTCGTAGTCAGCACCTTACGTGGACTACCCCATTGACGTATCAAGGTACTATAGATGCTTTGATGACTGTACAACACAGAGGACGTTATTACAGAAACATATTAAAGCGAAAGTAAGACCACCGCCGCATGGGTCAGTCCATGGCGTACGATTAACTGATGCACGTTGGTTTTCCTTGACCTTGACTACGATCGGAGATTTGTTCGGTATTCAATGACCCAACTGCAGAATGATTTGGCTAAGGCTCAGTGGAATTTCACTGGCCCTACAGAATAAATCAACAAAGCTTGAAAATTGAATGGGTCTACATATCACCGTGAAATATTGTGTAAAGTATTAGTGATTTTACTAATTTAGGAAATTCTTTAAAACAGAATAGTAAATAACGAATATCGTTTCTTACTGGTTGTCATTCAGTTAAATAAACTTTTTTAGTATTAAAATTCATATGATTACTATGTTATCATAATTATTCACTTCTTCTAGGAACCGTTTTAAATTTTCGCATATATATCTCAGGTAAGTACTTCTTAGAAGTCAATCTTCATAAATGTGCATGAAATTGAACCCGGTACCATTGAATTCCACACTATCCATCAGTCCATACATTTAACTTCAGTTGAATTATGATATTAAACCTACTATCAGTCAAACATAATAAACCACAGTCTATGCAAATCCAAACTACATAACATCAATAGGGAAGCTCTCGGTTTTTTACACTCCACACTCCCTTTTTAAACTTATTACTTATCAATGCACGTTCACTTCTGAACAAAATTTCAGCCTTGAGAACATTAGCTTTTCTAGCCAAACCTTCTTTCATACTTATCATGGTACTCGCAAGCAGTATCAAATTCAGAATTAAATATCCAGAACTATCGACTTTATCGCTGCGACAGAGAAACTAAGCGAGGAGGTGGTTGTATTATATATGCTTTGGATACCCTAACGACTAATAAAGTTGAAGATAGTGTCCTGAATAGTTTACCAGAATCAGTCTGGATATCAGTCAACACCCTAAATCATAGTCTACTACTTGGATGTATATACAGAGCTCCTGATAGTCCGAATAGTGGGAATGATCTTATTGTCAATGCATTCATACATGCAACCTCTCTAAACTTTAATGCTAAGGTTATCACTGGGGATTTCAATTATCCTGGGATCAACTGGAGTACCGGTAGTTGTCAGTCATGTAATGATGAGTTCTCGGCAACCATTAACATGCACTTCTGGTCACAGTGGGTTCGTGCCCCAACCAGAGGCGATAGTATACTCGATCTAATATTTAGTAGAGATGTTATCCCACTATCTGTAAAAGTATATGATGAATTTGAAAACAGTGACCATAAGATAGTAGTTTGCACTCTCCCTATCTCTCTCTTATAACCCACCCATTCAAAAAACCTGTCAATATAGAGACTATAAGCATGCTGACTGGGACCTCCTGCATTCATTGATTAAACTTTCAGACTGGGACAACTTTTTTTCATGTAATAGTCTCATGGATGCTATCGACGAATTCTATCTGATCATTAACTCTTGTTTAGATTCCAGTGTACCTCTTAAAACGTACAGGTTTAGTAAACCTTACGAATTATATATACCAGCTAAATATCGTAATAAACTAAAACGCCTACAGAATCGTTATTTTAAGTCAAACGACTTCACAGCAGTTGCACAAATAACAATAATTTTTAATCAAATTAAAGAGGAACATAGGTTAAAAGCCATTAATGAGGAGCTGTTAGCCCTTAATACTAACTCGAAAGTACAAAACTTAACTTTCCTTTTCAATAAACGCACTAAAGCAACTCGAAATGTTGATATACCGTGCATCCAGCATAATAGCACTTTTATATACGACTCTAAAACCATGGCCGACCTTTTCAGTAGTATATTCGCGAATAGTGTAGAAAACATAAGTGGCTATGCTTCAAGAGTTATGTGTGTGACTAGCAACTCAATAAAATCTATCTCCTTCACATGCATGAAAATTAATAAGGCTATAAATACCCTTAAGCTTTCGAAAGGTCATGAAGTAGACGGGATTTCATCATTTCTCTACAAATATGGTGGTCCAGATATTCCACTTCTTCTTCTAAAGCTGTTTACTCTCTCTATGGAAACCGGTTCTTACCCTTACTGTTGGAAAACCGCGTACATCATACCTCGTTAAAAATCTGGAGATAAGACTGACATGAACAATTACCGGCCAATAAATATTACTCCAGTTATTTCTAGGATTATGGAAAAAATTATAAGTGAACTTTCCAACTATTTACTTGCAGGAAAATTTATCAATGATACTCAACATGGATTTCTTAAAAATCGTTCTTGCATGACATGTCATTTTGACTTCTTTAATTTAGTCTATTCTCTACGTAGCCAAGGATATCTAGTCTTAGTGCTATATCTGAACATTTCTAAAGCCTTTGACATGGTTAGCCACCAACTTCTTATAGGTAAGCTCGCATCTTATGGGGTTCAAAATCCTTTGCTTGCATGGCTTGATTCCTTTCTCAGCAATCGACATCAAATAGTTAAAATTAACTCTTCATTGTCTAACGCTGTCCCTGTTAGAAGTGGTGTAATACAAGGTGGTGTCTTAGGTCCTTTGCTCTTTTTAGTGTTTATCAATGATATTTGTGAAAGTTTTTGTGTCGGTAAGCCCCTTCTATGTGCAGATGATCTTAAAATAGCATATTCATTTTCTTCACAGGAGCTGAAAAATATGCAAAACTGCCTCAGCATGGAGCTTGACAAGGTAGCACAGAGGTGCTTAAAACGGCAACTGGAGCTTAATACGGCTAAATGTGGATGGATATGTTTCGGCAATGCATCACTCAACCTAGACAGTACCATAAATGGAGAAGTGTTACCTAGGTCACATACAGTAGTAGACTTAGGACTTAGATATTCCCAAGACCTGTCGTTTACCGAACATATATTAAAACAGACCTCTAAATCTCAACGTCTAATA